TAAGTAAGCGTGCACAACATGTAGTTCATTGTATAATTACTTCAAACTTGCTTAATTAAATTATCCTCTCTATAGCATAGTAGTTTATCACATAGTGAGATCGCACTTGCTTGATTATCTTCGCCTCTCTGCCGTATAGTTTACCGCATAATTATTCTGCACTTTATTAATTAACATTTTCTGTCTGCCGCATAGGTTATCGCATGATGACATAGCACTAGCTCAATTATCTTCTCATGTTTGTTGCTCGATTATCTTCTCATGTTTGTTGCATAGTGTAATACATATCTATTTGTAACGCCCCATTTTAATTTCAAGAATTTACCGTATTTATTTAATAAAAATCAGAGTTTTTTTTTTTTTTATATAAATTAAAACCTTTATCGAGAAACGGGCGCTACTTACTAACATCATTAAATAACACACATGCACGAACTATCGATAAGACAAGTTCCAAATAAACGTAAGTCTTAAAAACCATTTCAAAAGATCCAACATTATTCAAAGCTCAACCCAATTCAACATAGTTCGAAAAGTGAAAGCAGTAAATAATCCAAGGCAATAATAGCAAACAAATAAAGTTCAAGTTTAAGCGGAAGCATAGATTTATCAACACATATGACCACCATCTCGCTTGTCCTACGCCACCGCCTCCAGCTCGTCTCAACCTAAAACAAAGGAAGAGAGAAGACAACAAGAAAATAATGGGGGTGAGCAACCAACTAGCTCACCATTATCGCACAGTTATCCCGCATAATTATTTTAAAAGCAGTAACACAATACTCAGTATGCATAGAATCCAACAGTCTAAACCCCCTACCCGGCCCTATCGCAAACCTCCTATGTACATACAACAACCTTCCGACCAAACATCGGCAAGGCCGTAACTGGAAAATTTCCCCCACCCCGAAACTCACACGGATCATGGGAGTCCACCCCGAACTACTCACGGATCATGGATGTTTTCCAGGAGACAGTGGAGATGTTTTTCCCCCCCGAAACTCACACGGATCAGGGCGTCGCCTCCCGGATACAACGGGCAGGTGACCTCTCACTGTTATGCATTCGTCAAAGGCACTACCAATAGGAATACTTAGACTAGGGTTCTCACGCATACATTCATTTTTCAAAAGAAGAATTATACGAAATAAATAGTGCGATAAATATGGAATACAACAAAAGTGTACCCACCTGATAGCAGCACGTTTCACAGTCACAAATCTCGTACTAAGGCAAGATCAACACCTCTAGACACCTACATAATGTCAAGATCCTACAATCAGAATCTATCTCGACTTAAATCGAAATCACAAGACAGACCTAGTCGAACACGTTTCGACTAAGTAGTTCGTGAAGTCCTGTGGATGTTGGAACACTAAGACTCGGCTCTAAACTCGACCCAACCACATAAGGGAGTTCACACAAATCCATCTAAGGATTGACCAAGTCAAACTCACATTAAAACGAAAAGCAAACCGATTCATATTTCCCATATACAATTACATTCGAAAATTGAAATCATTTAATCGCATGAAATTAGAAGGTCAAGCTACCCTACGAATTAAGCTCTGAAAATTTATACAAAATTTCATCTCCCAGAAACATGTAAAATCACAAAGTTTCAGCTTTAAACTCGAAATATCCTATTTTATAAAATTCGAACAGTAATTCAGCAAAAAGGGCACATTAATCCATACCCATACTTAATGAATGAATCTGAACCTGAAAATTTTACACAACAACATTCAGTATGTCAAAGCTCACTTATAAAAATTCCAGCTTTAAATGATAACTGCTGCTATTTTTAAAAATTCAAATGAGCAACAGCAGTTTATCGAATTTAAATTCAAACTGAATCAAAACAGCCACTAAAAATTCCCATATTTTACAAACATGATCAAACACCTAAAATATGACTCTCAGCAAAATTTCAGAATTTTCCATGCAGTAACCGATTTTTAAAAATTCAAACAACATTTCTGCCGAATCAATAAATAAAATATTTTCCATATCAAATCAACTCCAAAAATTCCAAAACTTTAACACAACACATATAAGTCAGAGGCAAGACATATTCAAATTTCAGCTCATTTCAGTCAAGCATGAATTTATTATGCATTTAACAATATTCTGGACAGAATACAAATTAATTATTAAAAATAGCTACAGGTCTCCAAAAATTATGAAAATTTTACACAAGGCAGGAAATGAATAGATAACACATCCCTCAAAATTTCACATCGTTTCGAGCAGCGAGCTATTTTTAAAAATTCAAACATCAAAACAGCGATTAACGAGCTCGACAACTTGACAATTAAATCGCAACACACAATTTATCGTCCGAGGCCTTTTCATAAGACCAAGGACTCGACATTGTTCCATTATCCACCGACTAACATGACTTTCGAGGTCTCGTTCGATTTTCGAGAAAATCGAAGAGATCCCGAACATACGAACACATACAATCACAATAATTCATATATTTGCACATATTCGACAATAAATTCACATTAAAAATATAGCACGAGTACAACATGAATATGAACAACTCAACGAGCATATATGAATTAAACGAGACGAAAAAAAAAACGACGAGGTACCGTTCTCGGGAATCGAACGAGAATGGGTTCGAACGGGCTCGACGGTTAACTCGTCTCGCCGGAAAAAGAAGGCTCGTCGCACGGGAAGGAGAGAGGAGTCGCTGCTGCTGGTTCACGAGCTCGCCGGGAAGGTCACTGGAGTTGCTGCTCGTAGGATAAACGAGCTCGCCGGATTGCTGCAACTGTCGCCGGAAGTGGCTGCTTCACGCCGGCGATGACGGTGGCGAGATGAGGAGATGACGACGAGAGGATGGCGAGGAGGGACGATGAAGATGAAGGTGATGATGAGAGAATGATCGAGCGATGATGGTGAATGAAGACGTTCGAAAAAAAATCACAGAGGAAGGAAAGAAAATCACGGCGCCATAAACAAAGAGAGAAGAGAACAAATTTCGATTGCTGCGGGATGTGCTTGGCCAAAAAGAAACGTGATGTATATATATACATACATGTGTTAGGTTTTTGGGAGGAAAATAATATCTTGATGTCCAAGACAACACTACAAAATCACGTCCAAGAGAGAGGAAAAGGAAAATCTGTCGGGCCGGGCCCGAGAAATTTGGGCCAATAGGATTTTTGGGCCGGTTGGGACAACAAAACAGCTCACGGGCTCGAATAAAAATGTAAACAGATATATTCGGGCCCAATTCGATTCCAACAAAAATTATCGGGCTCGAATTCGAATACAAACGCTCGATAAAAATAAACCGAAAGATAAATATTTATATTCTACACATTATCACATACACATTTATTCATATTAATAATTTAATAAATCACAAAATCAATTAAACAATTAGACAAATTTCACAATTAGCATTTAATCACATTTGACAAATAAATAAACATAATGGCATTCAATAAAATAAAATATAAATATTATCACCAATTAATAATAACAATAATAATAGCAATAAAAATAATAATAATAAATCCCAAATAATTCACAAATAAACGGGGCATTACACTATTTCACACTTTATCAATTAATTTCGTTTGTCTGTTGCGTAGTTTATCGTATAATGACATCGCACTAGCTCGATTATCTTCGCATGTTTGTCGCATAATTTATCAGATGATGAGATCTCACTTGCTTGATTATCTTCGCTTGTCTGTCATATAGTTATTCGCATAAGTAATTCGCACTTGCTGAATTAACTCCTTCTAGTTGCATACTTTATTGCATTATTTGTTTCGCACTAGCTTGATTATCTGCGCTTAATGAACGTCCGTTTTTTGTCGCATAGTTGATCGCATAAGTAATTCTCACTTTTTCAATTATCTTTGCATGTTTGTTGTATGTTTTATCACATAATTTATTTTGTATTTTACTCAATGAACTTTGTTTGTATGTCGCCAGGGGCAAAGCCAAGATTTAGAATATGCCCGAGCCAAATTTATTTCGGCCAAAAAAGAAAATAATATATTGAAAAATCATAAATAAGGTATGTCCAAGATATGTCTGACAAGTTTCGGAAACATCTGATGAAAAACTATTGAAACCAAATTTTTGAATTTTAAATTTAAAAAGCTATAAATTTAGTATTCATTTTTTTACGATCATGTTAAATATTTTTTAAGTAAAATTGTAAAATAATTTGTGTAAACCTGCTTAATATCTATCAAAGTTACGTTCAACTATCAAAGTAAAATATTTAATTTTCGTAGAAAAAGAACTAATATTTGAATCAAACTAGCTCTTAATATAGATACCAAAAGATGTATTAGAAATTCTGCCCTCATTCTACATATAAGGAAAATGTTGTTTTAAGTTGTTGCCCAAAGAAAAAAAAAATCTTAAAACATATAAATAATTAAAAATAAAATAAAAAAATAGACTAGCATATGGATTATTAATAGTCTTGTTTATAAATATATTTCATTATTCTTTATTCAAATCCAATAGTTGAATAAGCAGGTAAGATCTACATCCCTGAAACTATAAAATAATAAAAAGTAGAACAAGGTGACAGGAAAAAAATGAAATAACCAAATAAATTATTTTCCATGCAATGCAAAGTGGAAGCAAAAATTCANTAAAAAATAAAAAATAAAAAATAAAAATCTTAAAATTTGCGCCTATCCCCTTTCATCATCTCCGACGAAACCGAAACCCTAGCCTATCCCCTTTCATCTTCTCACGGTTTGCCTTCTCCGACGTCGGCGTAGATCGGGCCGGTGGTCACCTTTGACTGCTCGGCCCGCCCCTGACGTCACGGCGTTCTGACTTCGCTGCAGGGGTCTTCGATCGAGCAAGCTCCTGACCGTCGATTGCGGAGGGAGGGTCCGGCAACAGGTTGGTGGTGTCACTCCTTCGAAGACGGAGGTCTCTGCCTGGTCTGGGTCGTCTCTTTTTCGTTGATTGCGAACCTTCGATTCTGCCCTAGATCGCCGGCAGAGATGCGTGCTTTTCTGGCGATTTGGTCAGAGGACGGCCGGCGGTCGGTGATTCCGCTGTCAAGGTACCGGCGGCCTTTGATTGATGGTTGGTATGGTGCTGGCGGTCGGCGATTGGACCTGCTCTTGGGTGGTCGGTCGTTTGGGGGCTTGGGCTTGGGTTCGGGTTGGTCGTTTGGGGGCTTGGGCTTGGGTTCGGGTCTTTGGAGCTGGTTCGGGCTGTGTGAGACTGTGGTGGGGTCAGAATGTGTGTGTGTCGGTGGGCGGGTCGAGGCTTTAACGGCTTGTTCGTTCGAGTTGAGGACTAGTAGCTCCTTCCCGGTTCTCTGGTGTTGGGTCCGGGTTTGGGTCCAGAGTATTCCAGGCTCGGCTAGTGGTGTTAGAAGGGTTTGGTTTGTTCTGGCTTGGGATGTTGCTCTTTAGTCCCTCTCGGTTGGAGGTGGGTCGATTCGGGTTAGGTTTGGGGTCCAGGTTTGGCTTCTGTATAGGCGTTCGGCAGCAGTTTCGGAAGTTGGATTGGGCTTCGGATTATTAATTGAATCGATTCTTCTCCGCTGTCTCGACTCGTCAAACTGTTGGGGAAGGGCTCACTTTTGTTTTACAGCTTTTGTTTCTTTGGTTTTTTTGAGTCTGTGTTAGGATTGTTTTTTTGGTCTGGGTGTTTTTACCTGAGTGTTTGTGTCCTGTATTTTTAGTTTGGGCCGTTGGCCTCAGTGTGAGAAGGAGCACCTTATTCTCCTGTGGGGAGCAGCTCCTTTCTCTATTCTCCTGTGGGGAGCTTTCGTTGTAGTTTTTGTGTTTGGTTGTTTTGTCGGTTTGAGAGTCGTGTTTTTGTTTCTAGCGGTTGCTAGCATCGGGCTTCTAGGCGGTCGTTAGACCTGTCCTCCCAGTTTACTCAACTTAGGGTCGTGTATTCAACCTTGGGTTGTATCTTTGCACATTTGTGCGTTTGTTATATATAATTCCTCTATCGTTTTGGCAAAAAAAAAAAATAAATTATTCTCCATGCAATGCAAAGTGGAAGCAAAAATTCTCCACCTTTCTAGTTTAGCATAAAAGTACCTAACCTTTCAAAAATTTTGCAATTGTGTCTCGAAGAAAATTCCGGTCAATTGGTGCTGAGGTGGAATGCCGGAAATATGACACGGCTATAGAATTATTGACGTGTAAAAAAAAAAACCCAGTGACAAGTCATTTGACACATAAGAATCCATGTCACAGCTTACACACATGAATGCCACGTCAAATCTCCACAGATATATCTTCCCCTAATCTCAAAACGATTCAGGCAGAAGAACAGAAGCAGACGCAGCCCATCTGTGATTTCCTCCAAAACGGCTGCTCTCTTCCTTCTTCATCCGAAAATTCAAGTTCACTACCTTCCTCACGAGGACTTCCTTTCGACCTCATGCCCTAAAATTGCTGAGCAACAAAACCCTAACAGGTATGATATTTCTTCGCAATTTTTGAATTCCCCCAATTGGTTTCGAAAACCCTAAAATCTTTCTCCATGTTAGTTCATTTTGTTCACAATCAATCTGAATGGGCTAAAAATGATCTTTCGTTTTGTAGCCCCTCTTTTGTACTTAGGGTTTTAACCGCACGAGGTATGGTGTTTTATCTGGCTCATCTTCATCGTCTTGGTATGGTGTATTAACTCAGAAAATATATTTTCAGGCATTGAATAGTGATACTAATCCTTAGACATAATTATTAGCGAGCTCCCATTGTTGGCCCATGCTATTGCACTAATGTAATAATTCTTCTCCCACTGTTCCACAATCCACTCCTGCACACAATGAGAAGTCTTCATACAATCGTCCTTTGACATGCCTCGAAGGACAACATGATTTCCTAGGCACAAATACAACCTCATGTTCAGCATGATTACCCAAAAGGAAGAAAAAAAAACAGATTCATATCTTGCTCTTTGTTTGTAGTTTGTAAATTTGGTGTTTCGTTGACTTGTAAGGAGCTTGATTGGGTTGATTTGGAGATTTTTGGTGATGTGGGCTCAGTTGCATTCTGGTTTATTGATGCTGAAGTTGTTTTTATTTTCTTGCTGCTTGTTGTTGATTATATATTTTGTGGTGTGTGGTTGACCTATCAGATTTCTATCATGTTGGTTTAGGTTTAGTTTTGAGTTCAAGTTCTTATCTTCTCCAGTACTTGGGTTGTTATTTTTCCATATATTTTGCAATTGACCTCACTTCTATTTGATACTAACTTTTTTCTGTATGAATTTTATGTATGTTAATTATGTCTTAATTGAGTCCATTTGCTCATATTTGATTAGCTGAAAATGATCGATATTTTGGAGAGTGATACTATATCTATATAAACTTGATATATTTTATAATTTTTCATCACCATGTATTTATTAAATAAAAAATAAAGTTTGATGATGTTGTAGATTTCTACAGTTCACCACCATGTCAGGTGCTTCTCACACGAGTTCAACCTATAGATATTACAGAGCCTCCAATAGTTCGATTGAAGTAAGGCTATGTGATCATGACGAAGAAGCCCTTGTGTTGCCATCAAATACTCCTGAAAATCCAGCTCGAAGGTTCTTCAGATGTCCTTACTGGCAGGTAAAGTTTTGATAACACTTAGTGCAAAGTATATTTTGTTATGAGCTAGTTCATTGACTTTGTTAGTCATGAAGATGATATTTTCTGTTAACATGAAATTATATCAAGTATTGGCTGTGAATTATTTGTTTTTATACAGTCCAAGTCCAAGGATAAGTTCAAGTCCAATGATTAGTCCAAGGAGAAGTCCAAGGATGATTGTGGCATGTTTGCTTGGATTGATCCCGATATGCCGCCGTTCCAAAAGAGTTGTTTTAATAAGCTTAAGGCTGAAAATGATAGGTTGCAGGAGCAAGTAAGGAGCAAAAATGTAATGGAGCAACTGCTATCAGACAGGCTGGAGTTGAAGGCTACCGAGATACTAAAGTTGAAAGATGAGAACAATGAGATGATGAACAAATTAGAGATTCAAGCAACAGAAAAAGTTGAATTGCAGTTGAGACTTGATGATGTTGTGACTGAAGCTCGGAGATTGGAGAAGAAGCTCACATATATGAAATTTACATTTTGGTTCATTGTTACCTTTGTTTCACTCTTTTATATGTTTAAGTAAGTATGGTTGGATAGAATGAAGTTTGATGATGTTGTAGCTTTCGTAGTAACATTGTTAACTTTGTAGACTAAATGTTACAAACTTGTGGTGCTAAAAACTTGTTGTGGTGCTATAGAAGTTGTCAAAGTTGACTTATGGAATGGAATGCAGTGCTAAAAACTTGTTAGCCTTAATGTCAATGTTTACTTGTGGCGAGTGATCTGATGTTTTCATTTTCGTCCATGCCATACTATGGAGGACTACGTTCGAGTTTTGATCTGCTGGCCATGATAGTTTTCACTTTGTCCACTACAAATATTACAACATCCGCATGTAAATGACGAAGCATGAAACTGAAGAAGTTCGATAAAACAAAGGAAATAAATCAAAGGAAATAAGCAAGAATAAACCTCATGAAATTCAATCAACACAAACATGATTCAACTTCAAATAGAACAAAAAATATATTATCCTCACAACGACCTACTAATCTCTCAATCCATAGCTAAGGATCAAGAAACACTCGCAAAACCTCATTGAGGTGGTGGGCCAAAATGACCCTCACTCATATGCCATTGATGCATTTGACGGATCATCGCCATCATTTCTATTTGGTCCGCTCTCATTCCATCATCTCATTCTCCAAGTTGGTCATCCTCGCTCCTAAGCTCAAAGGAGGAGGAAAAACAAGCCTCTCGACTACTTGAGTAAAGCTCTCCGGGACATCCATGTGTTCATTTCCACCGTGGTCATATGCTTCTTCCTCCTCAACACTCGGGTGCTCCTCAACTCGTTGTCGGACATTCCTTTGCGAGCCTCCGACCATCCTTCAAATTTCCTCTTCCACTTCGTTCACGACGGCAGAATGTGCCTCGCTCACCATCTTGATATTGGTCATGTTGTCAACACTCTCGATTGTGGTTAACTGGGTGTTCGGCAATGGAAAGGGATCGTGTGCCCGTTGCAACAACAAATAACGGTCGGCTTCAATGCGGACAAAATTCATTGTCTTAAGAGCCGCCATGTTAATGGAAGGAGTATCACAGACGGGAGTCATCGTGCTCAAGTCAACCCCACAGTAGGTAGCAATAGGTGTGATCATGCCACCCACACAAATATGGCTCGACTCCGCAATAGCCGCCTCCCATAAATGTGTCGCCACCCATTTCCCGGTGATCCCGGGCTTGTTGCGAAGCATGCACCATATGGCCGTGATCTCACGAAGAGAACAACCGCCCATCTCTTCTCTAGCAAAGATAGTGCTCGCAACTGCCTTTTGTAAATACCGCAACACGGGATTGCGGATTGATGTTGCCTTGGCCGACCTCGGAATGAACTTCGGAGAGGGAATAGATGGTGTCCCGGCAATTAAGCTCCAAGCATCATGAGCATTAAAGGACGAGGGAATAGTTTGGTCTTCCGGGGCTTGATACACCTCCTTTTCCAAAGTTTGGACATCGAGTGTGTAGTCTCGATTTTTAAGACGGAACTTCAATGTTTTTACCAAGTGGTCATTTTCCGTCTTCTCGATCTCTAATGTACTAAGAAACTCCATAGTAAGACCGGTGTAGGTTGGCCATTTTTGAGTCATCAAGTACTCCTAATTAAAGCTTCTTCAATCGAACATTAAAGCTTCCCGGTTGTATAGCCGCATCCGGTATGAAATTGCCATTCAACCCCCTTCCTCGGCCTCTACCTCCCAAACCTCTTGCACGATTCATTTGATCCTGAGACAAATAGGTAATAAAACCTAATTTATCACAAGGAATATTTTCTAATAGAAAAAAAATATTCCATGTAAAAGAGAGTTCTATAGCAAAATAATCATCATGTAAACAATTCAATTATTTATCATGGCAATGACTAAGAACATTAGGCAACCACAACTCAAACACATATCCACGAAAAATCCAATTTCAAATGTGCCCACCACGAATAGATTGCTCAAACCAAGTTCTTCAACTACACTCAAAGAAGGGAACACACAAGAACACCATAACATCAAGCAACACAATAACTCCACATAAAGAGATAATAATTACAAACACATACCAAACTCGCTCTCGACAATGCGAAATCCCGAGCCTCTTTCCTAGGTGAGTTGAAACCCTACTTAAGCTCCAAAACTGCAAAAAGATTGAACACTATGAACTTGTTATTGTAAATGAAGGATTATGAGGCTAATTCAAGGATGAGAAGGCATTGAAATTGCAAAAACGGGTGTTCTAGGGTTATAGAAGTGAGAAGGGGCGAAAAATTGAAGAGGAGAATGTGTTTTGAAAGTGAAGGAGATCAGTTTAATAAGATCATGTTTCCGCGACACGGGCCGTGACACGGTCATCTAGCCCGTGTCGCGACCCATGGGATTGGCAGCATTCTGTTTCCGCGACACGGGCCATGACGCGGTCATATAGCCCGTGTCGAGTCCCGTGTCGCGACCCCTGGGATTGGCAGCATTCTGTTCACTCGACACGGGCCGTGACACGGTCATCTAGCCCGTGTCGTTGCCCGTGTCGCGACCCCTGGGAATGGATGATTTCTGTTGGCCTAACCCGGGCTATGACACGGTCACTGAGCCCGTGTTTCTTCCCGTGTCGTGACCCCTGTGATATAATGAATTCTGTTTGCCTGACACGGGCCGTGACACGGTCCCCAAGCCCGTGTCGTAGCCCGTGTCGCGACCCCTTGGATTGGATGATGACTGTTTGCCTGACACGGGCCGTGACACGGTCACCAGACCCGTGTCTTCGCCCGTGTAACAAATCCTGGGCAGGCTGAGGATTCTAATACGCGACACGGTCCACGACACGACCAAATTGGCCGAGTTAGTTGGCCGTGTCACATCCCTGAATGCAAGTTATTTATCTTTTTCTTTTTCTTTACAAATACGAACAAAACACACAAAAATTGTTTGCACAATCACAAACATTACACATTCTAGAATCCATAGTTTAATGCTTCATATCAAAACATGTTTAATATCATACTACAAGAATGTCCAAAAAGGAAAAATAAAACCAATATTGATTCCAAAAGAGCATTAAACAAAACAGAATTCATAGTCTGAAATAGAACGTAGCATAATCCATCGTTCCTAAATCTACATCTAGATTGCTTCACACTGCACTAGATTGAGTCCCAATATTAGATTCTGACTCCACTACACTGCTTGTCCCACTTTCAACACCCGTCTCTCTTGTATCCTTTCTTCCACTTGAACTTGCACGAGCAGCGGGCATATTTGTTGAGGATATGAAATGAACTTTCTTGTGTGATGACATATATGAAAAAAAAATGCACATTAATATACAGACAAATTGATATGAAATTATAAAGTTCAACAATAATATACCCTCAGATAGCTATTCCTTATTTCTTCCGATTGCAGAAGACCAATGCCTTTTCTTGCCTACAAAGTAAAGAAAGTTGAACTCCAACATTATTTAAGAATTCCAAAGCTGAATTATAACAACAATAAATAAATGAAAGTTACCATTGCCCTCTCTTTTTGAACAATTGAGTTGACATTTCTCTTAACCGGTAACTTAGGCCTCTTCTGAAAAGATGAAGTGTCTGAAGAATCGACAGTTTTCTTTGGTCTTCCTCTCTTTTTCTATGAGGATATTAAAAAGATGAATTAATATATGTAATGACTTCAAACAAAAGAAAAAAGTTTGGGTAAATCATTTTACCTTCTCTGGCTTTTGAACTGGTTCATTTTTACATGTCGTTTTGTTGTGACCTTTTCTCAAACAGTTTTGACATGTCATTTGAAGACCAAATCTCTTCAACTTTGTGGCAGACTGTCTCTCTTCTTCAGGGGGCCTTCTTCTTTTCTTCTTGGGTCTCCCAAGCATCTTTTTACATGGCGGTGGCTTGATATGATATCCAGCGGCAGCAGGCCATAATTTTTTACCATTAAGTGGTTCCAGAGCAGTAGAATACATATTAATGTATCTTTCCACACTATACCACTCATGTACATAATCAGCTGGATCTTTATGCAGAAAATGAATAGATGAACATGCATGGATGCATGGGATTCCAGTTATATCCCAATGCCTACATGTACATGTCCTGTTCCTCAAATCAACAACAAACTGATCCTCATCACATGTCACTTGGAACCTTTCCCCCACAGCAGGTTTTGTAACACAATGCCTAGACTTGAATTTGTTAGTTTCTAACACCTTTCTAATCCTAGGACATATAATATCACTCACCCCACTCATTTCCATGAGCTTATCATATTGTCTTTTCATAAGATAACTCCTAATGCTTTCCAACATGTCTATGATATGCTGCCCCCTAGCCTTGACAATATAACCATTAAATGTTTCACTGACATTATTTTCAATCATGTCACATTTAGGCATTAGGGAAATGAAAGCCTTGCAAAACCTGGAAGGATTTCTGTCAAGAAAGTCCTTGCATGCTTCCTCATCTTCTGCTTTCAAATCGTCTAATGCAATGTTGTACGCAGCTTTATGTGTGCTCAACACCAACCTCCAAGAAATGAACTTCAAGTCTTGGCCATTGAATTCTTTTTTCCAGTTCATATAAACATGCCTTGCACAATTTCTATGCTCAGCATGGGGTCTCAAGTCTGCAATTGCATTTATCAATCCCTATAAACATAAAAATTTGGAAACATTAATAAACAGATACATAAACAGTAAAATCTATTACTTCTGTAAGTTAATAAAAATGAAAGATGTTAATAAAAGCCTTGCCTTTTGTTGGTCACTGATAAATGTATAACCGAGCCCATCAGTAATCCCCAAGTCCTGAAATAGAATGGATAGAAACCATTTCCAACAAGCTTCATTCTCTGCCTCAACTACTGCCCACGCCACAGGATACATTTGGTTATTTCCATCCTTTGATGTGGCACAAAGTAAGGCACCACCTAAGAATGTCTTCAAAAAACAACCATCAAAGCCTACACGGGTCTGCATCCATGTAAGAAACCTTTCCTAAGAGCACTGAATCCAACATAGAAGGATCTAAACACACTGTCATCTTGTAACAGAAACTCAAATCTGCCTTCTCTGTGTACTCTGTGCAACTCAGCCATGTATCGTCTAAGAGATGCATAATGCTCTGTCATAGATCCTCTCAACATTTCCGGTGCCTTCCATTTTCCTCTATAAAGCTTCCATTTGGTTGGTTGAACAGCGTAGTTACATAGTATATCATCTGCCAGTTGTGATATAGTGAAGTTTGGGTTTTTTATGAAAGTGCCAATATATTCCCTAGCAATTCAATCCCCAGTCACCTGCCTAGTGTGTACATCCCACCTGTGTTCAGCATTCAGAGACTTTATTGCAAACCTACCTTCAGAAGTGACTGGAGAAGCATAAAGGCTCCTAGGACAACCCTCACTACACTTAGCTTGGATCTGCCTTTTGTTGCTCTTAACATTTTGTATATTATAGCCATTAATAATGGCTACCTTCTAAATGGCCCTCCTGACCTCTTCAGCAGATGTAAACCTCATCCCAAGCACAAAATTAAAATTCTTGTGATCACACTTAGGATCATAAAAGATCTTTTTTTTTTTTTAACCTCTTTCGTCTGCCCTCATCCACATCAAACTCATCACTACAAGATGAATTGGATATCACTGCATATTCAAGATCTGACCCCTCAGATTGTGCAATTTCTTCATGAACTATGGAGAGCGACAAATCTTCATTCTCTGCCTCATCTGGAACAAACTTCTTATATTCTCTGAAATTTCTTCTAGCCACAATTCTCTCTTCATCATCTGAAGCAAGCTCATTATCACATAAATCATCCTCAGATGAACTCTCAAATACAGGAACATAATCTTCATCATCACTACTTCCAAATGAACCTTCCCCTATTCTGTTGCTATTTCCAATCTGAATCATCAAATTTTCATCATCTTTTGGAACCTCATCTTCACCATCATTTTCCTCATCCACACAATCATCCACACAATCATCCACATAAACATCAATAACATCATGACCCTTTTTAACACATGCTATCATCTCCATTATCCCATCATCATTATGGACAAGTTTCATTGAACTAGGACCTTCAACCCCGGGAATCTTGTAAAACAATTTACCCCAACATTTGTAACCCAAGTTCTGCACCTCTTCCTCCAAGTCTAGATACCCGAACCTATCTACATCTAACTTACGCAAAATTTTGAAACCAAACCCATCATATTCCATGTCCAAATTTTTGTTATTAAATTTTCCACCATTGTTCAAATAAATGGAGAACTCATCACTGCAAGAAAAGCAAAAATAGCCATAGGATTTGAGAAAAAGTACATTTTAATAGCAACTTACTAGTCGATAAATAAAATATTATGCTACTGACGAAAATGTTTCAATAAGAGGCTAAGAGCTTAAGAATAATAATAAGTATTAAGGAAAACAAATATTAACATTACTCAGTTATAGTTCATATTTATTCATTTATTGTATCTTTGACAATATACAAAATATTAACCAACACTCAATTGACTTCACTCCTTATCAAAGCAATTCCAAAATAGGCAAAAGCACAGACAAAGTTCAATTAAATAAAAAAAAAAAATCATTCAAATTCATTTGAAATACCATATAGCCATGTTCAGTGAAAAAAATTCTTTCAAATTCCTCAACGACTGGCTTCAGGCATACCCATGTAGAATTTACCCGTGAATCTAATAGCAGGTGACAAAGCTTTGATTTTTCTCTATCATTACTTCTCTTACAATCAAAATGAATATATATTTCAACATAACTCAATAAATAAAAATAAACCAAGGCAAGAGACATCAGATAATTCAGAGCACGTTCTCCATTACACAAAAATCAATACCAAATCGTATGTAGAGAGCAAGAAAAATGTATGAAATTTACCCATTCTCCATTTAGGGTTTTGTTGCTCGAAGATTTTAGGGAACTCGATTTTCGGATGAAGAATCGCCAGAGGCGCGGCGTGAAGAAGGTGGTGAACTCGATTTGTCGGATGAAGAAGGAAGAGAGCGACCGTGCGTGAAGAAGGTGGCGATTGCCGAGCAGAATCACAGATGGGCTGCGTCTGCTTCTGTTCTTCTGCCTGAATCGTTTTGATATTAGGGGAAGATATATCTGTGGAGATTTGACGTGGCATTCATGTGTGTAAGCTGTGACATGGATTCTTATGTGTCAAATGACTTGTCACTGGGTTTTTTTTTTTTTTACATGTCAATAATTCTATAGCCATGTCATATTTCCGGCATTCCACCTCAGCACCAATTGACCGGAATTTTCTTCGAGACACAATTGCAAAATTTTTGAAAGGTTAGGTACTTTTATGCTAAACTAGAAAGGTGGAGTTTTATTTGCAACTTTAAAAAAAGTTGGGTTTTTTTTTTCAATTAACCCATTTAATATCTATGAAACTAGTATAAGAATTTGAATGGACTTGATAATTTAATGTAAATAGTTAATTAATTCATACTGGGTAAAATATAAAAAGATAAAACATATTTAATGTATGACAAATAAAGTAGAAGTAAATATTCTACAACTAGCCCGGGTATATTGGTTAATGTCTTCACCCTTGTATGTCGCATATCATACTTATAAATATTTCGTAGTTTATAAATTATCTTTGTTTCTTTGTTGCATAGTTAATGACATTTATAACTGTATCAGTTATCTACGCATGTCTGCCACATAGTTTAACACATAATACTATTGTATTTAGCAATTATCTTTACTTGTTTGTCGCATAGTTTATCGCATAACTATTTTGCACTTTATCAATTATTTTTCCATGTCTGTCGTATAGCTTTTTGCATCAATTAATTTTCGTCCATTTCTTTTCGCATAAATATTCAACACTTTATCAATTATCTTCGATTCGCATAAATATTCTGCACTTTATCAATTATCTTCGCATGTCTGTCGCATAACTTTTCACATAAATATCTCGCACTTTATTAATTATCTCCGCATGTTTGTCGCATAACTCCTTGCATCAATTATCTCTGCATGTTTGTCGCATAACTATTTCACACTTTATCAATTATATTCCCCTTTATGTTGCATTGCTTTTTTCGCATAAATATTTCACATTTTATCAGTTACATTCGCATGTCTGTCGACAGAGACGGATTTAGATGGGGCCCAGGGGAGCCTGTGGGCCCATCTAATTTCTTTTAAGTCAATGTATATATATAAAATGAAAATACTATAAACATATGATTATAAATGCAAACAATATGTACAATATATTAATAATTAAAAAAAAATTTCTATGCTATTTTAATTTAAATTAATAATATTATTTATTTATTGAAAAATATGCTACCAATCCTTATATTTTACATTTCTAGATAACTTTTTGAAATTATTTATAATGGTTTTACTCTTTCAGTCTCTTAATTGTAAATCGATTTAATGATTTACAAAATTGAATATTTAGTTTGATTGTTACATTTTTTATAGTTGATTTACTTTTTTTGTGTAATCACATATTTTTGACTTATTTATTTTATTCTGAAAAATTGTTCATTTAATAAGCTCTCATCAACAAAAATATTATGCATTATGCTTAAAAAGTTCAATTTAAATCAAATTTTCAACAAAAAAAAGAAAGAAAAAAAACTTATTTTTTCATAGATTATAGACATTGAACTTAAATTATAAATACATGAGATCTCATTTTTTTTAGATTTTTATTTGTTTAAGTTTAAGGTTGATACGGATTCTAAGTATTTAAAACTTGTTGTTAAACATGTCGATATTTATATTTA